AAAAAAAAAAAAGTCCGCATGTTCTTTCCTTAAATAAAATGAATTCTCCATTTCCCCAATGGTATTATTTTAAAAATAGGATTAATTTTAGAACAGTTCTGGGTTTACAACAAAATTGAGTGGAAAGTACAGAGATTTCCCCCTACCCTCACACACGCAAAGGCTCCCCTATTATCAGCATTCCCCACCAGAGTGGCACATTTTTTACAATTGATGAATCTACCCCAATGGGATTTTTTATTCTTTTATGCAGGTCCTCTCCACCTCTTTTACACACATGGGGGAGAGGCGAGGGACAAGTGAATGTGTGGGCTCTAGACTTGGCCCAAACTTGTGTGTTCACTGGTTCATTTTATTCCAAGGTATAGATCTAGGCACTTCTGTTTTTCGAAAGCTTTAACAGCGTGATATAATGCCATCACCATTACTGTCTCCAACTCTGGACTGGAAATCAAAACATCAGAGCTATTTAGTTTTATACATAGATTGACCTTGGATAATCTCATGCAGCAAATATGTATTAAAGATATATGATGTGACAGGCACTGTGCAAGGTGTGGAGGAAGCAAAATGAACAAGCACAGTCTCTGCCCAGCAAGTGACACAGTGTCTGGTACATGAGAGCTTTTCCATGAATGTTTGTTGGATGAGTAATAATAGTATGTACTGCATACCAGGCACTGTTCTAAGTGCTTTATGTGTATTATTATTTAATTCTCATGCCAACTCTATGATGTATGTTGATTATTGTTATATTATAATTATTATTATATTGTCACATTATAGAAGAGCAAAGAAAACCACAGAGTAGTTTGGCAATTTATCTATAGTCACACGACTTGATTCCAGAGGTGTCAATGAATAAACGTAGGTGATCTTATGTTTAGGGAGGGGTGAAATACTAAAATTTGTATTCAGGTCCCATGGTAAAACTTAGAATATGCTATCTATAGTTAAAGCATATGAGTTTATTTTAACTGAGTTGAAATGAACTGAAGTATACAAATTTTCAAAAGATGAGAGAAGTTGATAAAATCATAGAAGGAAGTACAGGACATATGGAAGTATTTGATCTGGAATTTGGAAAATATATAGAAACTTCTTTAATCATGTAAGTTTTCATTTAATTTTTTGTAACTAGTTTGTTTATTGGAAGAGTATCACATGTACATCTATAAAACTTCAAAAATACAAAAGAGTATAGAATGGAGACAAATCTCCTTTCCATACCCCTTGCTGGAGGCAACTACTGTTACAAGTTTCTTGCATGACCTTTCAAATATATACATCTGGTAGATTGGGTTTTTATAGAACTTGAAAAGAATACTCGAGATGAAGGCACAAATGCAGAGGTGAAGTGTTGTGAATGTTCAGGGGAAATGGTATGTGGTCTGTTGTACCTGGAACCAAATGTAGAGAAGGGTCCTCATTATTTCCCTCCACATTATATCTCTTAGGGATGTTATATAGATAAAGCAGAGTATATTCTGATTTAGGAGAGAGGAGAACTTAGACTCTGTGTTGTCATTTGTTCATTTATCTCATTCAGTGGTTTTATTCTCTTGGCTAACGAGGATTTTTTCAGTTTCTCCTGTCCCAAGTGAGCGTTAGGGTTATAGCAGTGAACACAACAGTCACGGTCTCTACTCTTATAATTAAATGAGGACAACAGGCACTGAACCAGAGTTAAAAAGCATGATGAGTGATATGAAGGAGAGATGCAGAGTGCACTGGAAGCACATGGCAGGGAAACCTCATCTCAGCTGGTGGTCAGAGGTAGAGACCTGCAGGATGGAAGGCATTAGCCAGGCAAGTAAAAGGTGGTAACAGACTTTTAGGCTGGGGAACAGTAAGTGCAAATATTCTAAAATACAAAACCTAGCAGCTTCAAGGACTGAGAATAGGAAGATGGCTGATGGGACTATAGTTTAAAAAGCAGCCTATAGGCAAGTCATCTTTTCCTTTTCAGCCTAGATTTGCCATAAAAGCTGTGAGGCCTAAAAGTCCTGCCTCTTCTCTACTTGAAAGAAATGCTGTAGAAACATGCTATAAGCACATGTGAAAGTATGGGACAGGGAGTGGGGGGATGGCTTGCTAGCATTAGGTAGAATCCCATCTTGTGAAAGGGTTGGCTAAATGCTACTGATTTCAGGAAAATATCCATGAGCCCATGTGACTCACTCTACTTTCTAAGTAGAATTACCCTTGAAGGAAAGTGAGTTGGTGTTAACGGCTACCAATGTTCCCTCCAAACCTTTTCAGTAAACAGGGGTGACTGAATCACAGACCCACTGGAAAACACTCATCAGGCAGCAGCTTGTTTCAGGAGCAGAGACTCCATTTGAAGGGTTTTGTGAACCACATTAAAGTCCCCACTTATTTTTCCGCTCGTGCTTAGGTGGCTATGATTTCAAGTCTCCCAGCCACTCACACACACTCAGTTGTTACATCATCATTCTTATATGGTTATGGGGTGTAAGGGTCCCTTCCTAACCAGGTTTTGATTCCACTTCCCATGACTGAGTGTTCACAAACCACTTAGCTTGTCTATCTCATCTGCCCCCTCTTTTCTTTTCCTCTACCCCTCCTATATTCTTACTTATTTATTTATTTGTTTGTTTGTTTGTTTGTTTTCTACTCCCTCTCTCATCCTATATCCCCACTTTCTCCCACTTCCCACCAATTCCAAGTTCTGAAAGTAACCATAGTGCATGGGGATTGGGTTAGGTGGAGGAAGGGGCACATGGAAGACATATCAGAGAGGGGAGAGTTATGGTGTGAGAGTGGGAATCATTTCTGTTTCTTTTTTTATCCATATCAAAATTGGTATAAAAATTAACAGATAATCTTGTTTTGAACCTCAGATCCCTTTGAGAAATGACCTTTATGGATGTGCTCTCAGAAAAATGTGTGTCTGCTTATCTAACAACTTTTTGTACAGAATTTCAGGGGACTCATGCACCACAGAACATTTCTACTTGCACATATGGTTCCAATTTTCTATAATCCCTCTATATAGAGAAGTTGAAGTTCAGGATACAAGAGGTTACTCTTTGGATACTGTACGCACCACATTATCTGAACAGTCAGGCATTCATTAGTGTGGCTGGAAGAATTTCCAACATGATTACCAAATTATCTTTGTAAAACACCAACACCAACTCCAACATTTATCGTCTAAACAATTAAGCAACAAAGAGAGCACTCTGTTTTCAGAGTTGATAGTAAATTTAAAAGAACAAATTTCTAATTGCCTTTCTCGCTTTTTCTTAATAATTATGAGTCTCAACCACTCTAACGTTAGCCCAGGATTAGAGTGATTGAGACTATTTTTTTCCCAGTCTCCGAATCTCTAGTCTGATATTAACTGGGTTCTTTTCAGGACAGCTTTACGATTTCAGGGTATTTTGGTATTAGGAACATTTTGATCAGATTGCCAAATTTTCCAACAACCCATCTTAATTACAAGTTAATTGTGTCTGCTTCATTACTTAAGCAGATAGTTTTATTTTTCTCTTCTGACTTTCTTATCAACAAGAACATTCTGTGCTCTCTCTGAGTTATGGAATCCTTCTTTTATGAACATTAGCTTATGGTTAAGTTCATTTATTACATCTGTAATATATTGGGAAAAGCTGAATAATAGAGATTTTAGTCAGGTAATATAGCTTTCAGCATTCATAAATTGTACAGATATTTATTAAAAGCCTACTATGTGTCAACCACTGTTGTAGGTCCTAGGGACAAAACAGTGAAAAAAAATGAAATTCTTACTCTTGAGGAGTTTGCATTCTAGTGAGGGAAACAAAAATAAAACAAATGAATGTACAATATAACATCAGACAGTAAATGCAACAAGAAGGGGGATGCTATTTTAGAAAAAGTGGTGAGAGCAGGTTTCGCAGAGAAGATAATTTTTTTAACAGAAACTTAAAGTGAGAGAATGAGTTATCCAAATATACAAAGGAAGAGATTTCCAAAGAAAAAGAGAGAGAGAACAGCAAATACAAAAGCTCTAAACAGGGAATGCTCTTGAAGAATGATGGAGTAGTTGGAGCAGGTGTGACCACAGTTTAGAGAGCAGAGAGCAGGCAGCAGATGGAACAGAAGCAGTAGCAGGGACTTACTTATTCAGTCTTTGAAGCTAAAATGAGGACTACGGATTTTTATTCTATGGGTTCTAGAAAGCCCTGGAAGTTTAAAAGCAGGAGAGATAAAACTGGACAGTTTTAAAAGATAGCCCCATCCATGGTGAGGATACAAGAGATTAGTTGGAAGAAAATGGCAGTACCCAGGCCTGTGATAATGGTGGTAGAAACGAACGAGTTTTGAATACCAGATGGATTTTGATAGCAGAGGCAACAGGATTTGCTGACAGATTGAATGTGGCATACGAAAAAAAGTCAAGGATGATTGCAGTGCTTTGGCCTGAAAATTTGGGGGAATTTTGATATTGTTTGCAGAAAGGGCTATGGGATCAAGAGTTCATTTGCTAAGGGATGCTCTTTAGACCTCCAGATACTGAGGAGTAAGTGCAGTGAAGGGTTTGAGTAGGAGATATATCTCTATAAGCATTCCAGAAATATGCTGAACTATGCAACTGAATGAATATGGCTAGGAAAGAGAAGAGGTCTGAGTACTGAGTCCTGAGATGCTTCAATGTCTTTAAGAGCAGAAGATTCTAGTCAAGTAGACTGAGAAGGAGTAGCCAATAAAATAGAAAGAAAACTAAGACAGTGTGGTCTTCCAGGGACCAAAAGAAGTGTTTCAAAGAGGGAATGATGAACCATGTTAGAATCTTCTGAGAAAGCAAGATGCAGATGGAGAATTGACTTGATATCATGGAGTACATCATGACCCTAACAAGAGTGGTTCCAGTGAGCAGTAGGGATAAATGTCTGTTCAGAGTGGGTGCAAGGAAAAATGGATCAGGTAACAGAGACAGAAAAGATAAATGCACCTGAAAAAAACTTTGTGATAAAGGAAAACAGAGAAATGGGGAGGTGGCTAGAGATATACCTGGGATCAAGAGAGGGTTTTTTGAGATGAAAGAAAATACATGTTAGTATATTGCATGTTGAGAGAAACAGCCCACAATGTATCATACCGTAATAAAGCTGACGATGCAAGAGGCAAGGGCTAGTGCAGGAGTAAAGCCTTGAAGTATGTGAGGGCTCCATAAAGGAGGAGGCACAAATAGACGATCCATCCAAGTAGGTAGGTTGATTTTGTGGTGATAATTAATGGAAGTTCTCTTCTTGTTTCTTCTGCTTCTTCAGTGAAATGAGAAGCAGGATCATCATCTGAGGTTGTGGGTTTGAGGAGAGAAGAGGTGTTAAATAATCAGCAGTAGGATCCCTTATAGTGGTTTGATAGGTTTTTGTTGTTGTTGTTATTGACTCAGCATTTTTGAAAAAGAAAAATAAAATTATTTCTCACTCTCAACATTATTAACTTCCTACAGCTGTTTTGAGGGCTTGAATACTGGGTTCAGAACTTCCCTGATTACACACTTCTCTTTCCTCATTATCTGAATTGATGCTTCTGTAACCTTGGTCTCCTAGGCTCATAAGCTCAAAATCAGTTTTAGTTGCTCTTCATCCTTCATAGTATATAGTGATAAGAAATCTGATCCAAGAATTAACAGATTTTAATTCTATTTCAGTTACCAGTTATTTAATTTTAGGGAAGTCGTTTAACTTCTCTATGTCTTACATGCCTTAACTATAAATCTGAGTTGATAGAATTCTCTCCCAGATTAAAGAAACCCAGTGTCCTAGTTAGCATATATAATTCTATAAGTAACTTTAAGATTTCCATTAGGATTTTTGAAATATTGAGAATACAGTAGAATCCTCATGACAATGTTATAGACCACCAAGACCTGGCAAGCCCAGGGATGGCCCAAGAGGAAGAGGAAGAGCCTCCAGTCTGTCATTCCTGATCCACAGACAGGATACAATTCTCAAAGGGCCCCATAATAAGGAACTGTCTTCTTCCTCCCACAGGTGAGAGCTCGATGGATTGCCCGGTGATCCCTGGGCAGTTGGGAAGCAGTGTGCTGCTTCCCCTGACATCTGAAGGGATAAGGAACACGAACAAGAGCATCCACATCATTGTCACAATGGCAAAATCACAGGGAGAAAACATCAAGAAGAAAATTGTATCTCTTGATTTGCCCAAAAAGGTCTCTCCACACTATGTAGAAAATGGCTATAAATTTCATCTGGAAAACCTGAGTCTGGGAATTCTGGAAAGCAAGAAGGAAGATGAAGGCTGGTACTTTATGACCCTGGAAGAAAATGTTTCAGTCCAGCACTTTTGCTTGCAGCTGAGCCTCTATGGTAATAATGATGGCTTCCCCAGTCCACAATGTAAGGTCAAGATTGTCCTTTGACTAAGAACTTAGGCCTCTCACATAAGCAAAGAGTATCCAGTATTGGAAGCAACTTGAGAGGTCACCTAGTCCGGGGGTATTTAAACTGTTTTTCAGGAGGAAATTTTAGAGGTTCACAAATCTTTTTTGTCCAAATAGCATGTTGGTGGTAGCTGATTAGCAGTAGTCACTCATTTCCCAAAGGAAAGGTGCCCAGCTGCCTGTGGGCTAGAGGACCTGGAGCCCCAAAAGTCTCAATTTGCAAATAAGATTTTTTTTTGAAAAAAAGTTTCTTAATGATTTTTTAAGAGTTTGAATACCACTTTCTTTCATAGATGACATTGAAATTCAAAAAGGGTTTGTACATGCTTCCACATATCTGTGTGGGTGATTCACTGTATTTAGGGGTCCTGAGAGAAGGAGAGCTGAAACTTAGCCCACACACCACTCGCCGAGCCCTGTGCCCACACACCACTCACCAAGCCCTGTGCCCTATCATCGCATGACATCTTCCTGGGGGAAAGGCACTTTTTTCTCATTGAAACAAAGGCTCTAGTTATAAAGTTGCTTAGCTGCAGAACTTAAACTAGAACCTAGGTCCACCTGAATCCTAGATTTGTTTTTTTGGTGAAGCCAGTGCTTTTTCGAGCCTTTTTAATGCCAGCCCCTCTCGAATGCATCCACTTTGTGTCTCTTAGGCCCAGAGGCTCCCTTGAATTCCCAGGGATCCTGACCACCATGAGGGCTGCCCTGCTTCTTTACAGTGGCTTTCCTATCTCTGAGGATGGTACAGGGAGCTCCACCCACACAGCATTACTTTAAAATCCTCAGGCACCTACAGGAGAGACAGCAATACCCTTCCCATCCTTTCTCTGCCCCTAGCATTCCCTTCCCTCCAAAGAGTGTATGCAGAATTCCTCCAGCCCTCCAGCAGGTACCTGATCACTCCACTGGTGGCCCTGGTTCAGGGCTGCCCTGAGCATGGAGATTGCACATTATGCATTTTCCAGAACTATTCACTGCCTTTGTGACATCTTGTCACATTTTGTGATCAAATTCTTCCCTTGGAAAATATGGCCTCTGCAACTATGATATTTTTATCAAGTCAAAGAAAGAGGCTGTATTTTTGAGTCAGACAGATCTAGGTTCAAATCTCAGCTCAGCTGCTTAGAAGCTGAGTAAAATTATATAAGATACTCCACTTCTCTAGGACGTAGTTTCCTCATTTAAAAAATGGGAATAATTATAACTAGGGTAGTAATCGTTGAGAACATTTTTGAGAAGATTAAGGAAGATGGTGGATATAAAGTTCCAGCATTGTGCCTGTCCAATAGTAGTTGCTCAATAGATAAACATTTCCCTTTATCTTGCCTATTTCATGGCATTAGCGTGAGATAGGTTAATGAGGCCTGTGGCTATCCCTACTTCACTAAAGCATGTGCGTGCACGTGCACACACACACACACACACACACAATAAAGTCACACCACTAAAAAGTCATTCTTTTAGTTTTAGGAGGTAGTACTTTCACAAACGCCAATTAAACCCATGGAGGATACACTGACAGCAAACTCCTTGGATAGAATATACGTGAGCAACGCACATCAGCAACATCAGGAGAGGCAAGGAGACCCCCAACAGTATCCGTAGGAGGGAACTAAAAAGCCAATTTTTTTCTTTTCTATTTTATTCCAAGGTGGTCCAGGAAAGGAGTATATGGGAAGAGAGAAATGGTGCAGAGCAGTAGATCCCCACTAGAAATAAATCACACTGCAGATCCAGGAGGAGGAAAAATGCTATTAGGCCACATTTTCTTCTAACAAAATTGTCAAGTCAGAATTTCAAGGGGTTCATTTCAGTGATGGCTCCCTTCCTCCCCCTCCTGACAGAGCAGATCTCCACTCCGGAAATTAAGGTGCTGAACTGGACTCAAGAGAATGAGAATTGCAGCTTGATGTTGGCCTGCATGGTAGAGAAAGGGGACAAAGTGGCTTACAGCTGGTTCGAGAAGACAAATACCCACCCGCTGAGCCTAGCAAATGACTCTGCCATTCTGTATCTCACCCTCGGCCCTCAGCATGCCAACAATATCTACAGCTGCACTGCAAGCAATCCCATCAGCAACCGCTCCAGGACCTTCACTCCATGGTCCCAGTGCAAGTCATATTCCCCAGGTGAGTGCCCTGATGGTGGCTAGTGCATCACATTAATGATGCACTAACCTGGACCAATCATTCTGTTTCCATAGCTATGGCGTTCACCTTGGTAACAACACTTTACATCTTTTCTATAGTTTTCAAAAACTTCCCATGTGCATTCAGGGAGTACTCTCTACTCATAACGACCAGGGTGGCATTATTATGCTCAGTTCACAGTTGAGGAAACTAATAAGAAATGATAAAGGCAGACCCAGAGCCCAGGTCTCCAAGTTGTGATCCTTCTTCTCTCCTCTTGCTTTGGATCCAGTCTGCAGGGGTGGCTGGGTGAGGGGTTGTGGGTAGCAGGTCCTGACTCTCGCATCCCTGCTCCACTAATGGTGAGACAGTCTATACCATTAATAAGTATGGATCGATCACCTAGGCTATAGGAAATTGGGGATAGATGTGACATATGATCTCTGCTCTCTGGGAACCTGTTGTAAAGATAAGACATGAAACATTTGCTCAGTAATAAAAAGCAGGATACAATGGAGGACCACATTTTACAGAATGGACTATGGATCCCATAGCCAATTAGAGGACCCAGGGAGTCAGCTCTCTGATGAAGACATAGACTGGGAAGTTTGGGAATAATGATAAATGGTATAGTACTTTATTATTGGCAAAGCACTTTCAACTATATAATCTCTTTTGATCCTCACAATAACCTTACCAGATAAGTGTTATTATCATCCTCATTTTACAGATGAGGAACTTGAATCTCATGGCATTTAAGTACCTCCTCAACTTATAAATAGTAGAGTCAGCACCTAGATCTTTGACTGCTCTTTTTCTAGAAAGAAAAGCATCATTATTCTGTTATGAAAAGGAATAGAGTGCTGATTAAGTAAACCTGTCGACCACTTGAGGTTGGAAACAAGATAGACCAACAGATTTTGTGTCCATGCCTCAGCTATGTTCAGAGACAGAAGAACAAGTGTGCTGGCCCTGCAAGGCATTACTCATGCCCTAACATTCTCCTCTCTGGATCCACTGGGAGTCTCCAAGAAGACTCCTGCCCACAGCGTATATCAGTGTATATATGGAGGAATTTCCAGATGACCAGAGATGGCAGGATGAGGGAATCTAGCCAAGTTATGCCCATCAGCATAGGACTTCCAGTCAGAGACTTCCCTGAGGTATTCCCAGATAGACTGCTGGGAAAATCTCACCTGGTCTCCAGTCTGCATCTGAGAATTCTTTGATTAATGTAACCCACTGTATGTTGCCTCCCCCAGCCATTAATGTCAGAGTCCACTATCTGTCCGCCTACTAGATGTACCTGGCTGCTTGCCCACCTTGCACACGAAGTACATTCTGAAGCTACCCCCCAGTTCAGATCTCTCTCCTTGCCCATAGTCATTCAGAACATGCTGGCAGGACCCAGAAAGTGCTGTTGCATAGTTTAGAGTTTATAGAATGTGACCCCAGAGGCCCTAGATCCAATGATGCCCCTTTTACTTATAAGGATAAGTTGCTTAACCTAAGACAGGTTATTTCTCTAAAATAATAACTGACAGGTCTTCATTGTTTTGTATGTGCTAGTGAGGTGGTATCTCACTTAATCCTCACAGCAACTAAGTAGTATTAGTATCCCCACTTTACAGATGAGGAAATAAAAATATAAAAAGGTCACACACAGAGCAAGTGACAGAGCTGAGTTGTCTGATACTGGCATTCTTATAGATACTAGTGGAAGAGATAATACACTTAAAATGCCTTATAAATTATGATAACAGTGTGTCGTTGTTTTTCTTGGGCTGAGGAAGTAGTAGTCCTTACCCTAGCACAGTCCCTTCTGGTTGTAGTAGTCCTCCTAGAGTTAAGGCAGGGCATCAAATATTTTACCATAGCCTATCTCCAAAAAGAGGGAGAACTCTCTTCATGCTTATCAATGAAGCGTGCTTCTTGCTCCATGCTTCTTGTGATTTAACAAGAATTTTTTCAGTGTATTCCAAAGTCTTGGCAGGCCATAAAGCTTATACTCTAGTACATGGCTCAGGATTCTCTAAAGAAATAGGAAGATGCTCTTATCTATCTAAGCTACTTTGAGGACAAAGTATGCATTAGTACGAACCAGATTTAATGAGTATGAAACAGACTTCTGGGAGCTGTGGAGAGACAGAAGAAACAGAAACATGGTGCCATAGGAAAAGCCCTTGCAGGGTCTCAGCTCAGTCATTGAGAGCTACTTAACATGGGGCAGCCATTTCACTTTCTTGGGGCTCTGCTTTATCATCTGTAAAATTGAAAGGGTGAGCTAGCAAAGAGTCCATATCCTATAATTCAATTGGTACATACGTTAATAAGAAATGCTAATAATGTGTTACCAAGGTGAAGGTGTATTAGTTTGCTTGGGCTGCTGTAACAAAGTATCACAAACTGGTGTCTTAAACAATGGAAATGTATTCTCACAGTTCTGGAGGCTGGAAGTCCAAGATCAAGGTCCTGGCAGGGTTGTTTTTTCTGAGGGCTGGGAGGATGTATTTGTTGCAGAACTCTCCTTGGCTTATAGATGACTGTCTTATATCTCTTCACGTTGTCTTCCCTCCACGTGTATCTCTATCTTAATTCTTCTTCTTTTAAGGACACCAGTCATATTGGATTAGAACCCACCTTTAATTAGTTTTCTAGGAATCCTATACAAAATACCACAGACTGGGAAGCTTAATAATGTAAATTTATTTTCTCACAATTCAGGAGGCTAGAAGTCCAAAATCAAGGTGTTAGTAAGGTTGTTTTTTCTAAGGTTCCTCTTCTTGACTTCTAGATGGCCGCCTTCTTGCTGTGTCTTCATGTGATCTCTCCTCTGCGCATGCACATCCCTGGCGTCTCTTTGTGTATCCAGATTTCCTCTTCTTATAATAACATCAGTAAGATTAGGTTTGGGCCCACCCCAATGGCTTCATTTTAACTTAATCATCTTCTTTAAGACCCTACCTCCAAATATGTTTACATTCTGAGATCCTGGGGGTGAGAACTTTTAACTTATGGATTTTGGGGGACAAAATTCAAACCATAAAACCACCCTAATGACTTCATTTTAACGTGATTATTTCTATAAGATCTTGTCTCCACATTCTAAGGACTTCAACATATGAACTTTTGGGGAAACACAATTCAACCCATAACACAAGTAGAGATCCCCTCCTCTGCCTCCAGAGATGGGGAACCACAGCATGTCAAAACCAGTCACACAGCTGGTTTGTGGCATGCTATTCCCAATACACCAGGTTGCCTAAATACAAAAAACAGTTTTAATTCATTGATTTGTGTTTGCAAATCAATACTATTCATTCTAAAAATACTGTTTCTCCTATGTTCCAACATTGTGTTAAGTGATGAGAACACAGAAACAAAAAAATGTGTGATCTTTACCCTTAAGGAAGGAGATAGTTCTGTAAGTAACTAATTTTCCTAAATTGCATAGTATAATAAGTGAAAAACAGAGGTGTGTGCAAGGTAACAAAAAAAGGGGGAATGATTAGCACTGTCTCAGGGAATCAGAGAGAACATCACAGAAGACGTGACATAAACTGGGTTTTGAAGAGTAAATAGAAATTACTTAAGCAGATAAAAGAAAGACATTTCAGTCAGAGGGAAAAGTAGATACAGCTGCATCTTGTTCTATATTATTCTGTAAGGGAAACTATTGTAGAGTTTAAGAAGAGTAACATGATCAGCTTTGCATTTCACAGATGAAATTTAGTGGTGTGGAAAATAGACTGAGGCAGAAAAGAAGAAAAAGAAAGAGAAACTAGTTATGGGGAGGGGCCATTATTGAAGTAATCCGTCAAGAGATGATGGGGCCTAAGCCAAGGCAGTAGTACTTTACCAAAGACTTCAGACAAGGGAAATTCCAGCCATGGGATGAAATGGTGAGGTTTGAGGGTTTATTAGAGATCACTTCACCATCTATAATGAAGACAATAATTTAAAGACATTTTTTACTTTCATTATTGAAAAATTCAAAGTGGTTAATGATGTAGTTAAACCAAATATGATGTCAGTACTGTCTCTTCGCAGAACTCACTTATACTTACAGAACATATATGTTCCTTAGAATCTTATTTTCTAATGACATTTGTCCAAGCTCTCAGTAATATATTCATTCTTATTTTAATTGCCATCTCTGTGTTTTACAGTAAGAAACACCTTAATATCTATCATTATGAAGCATCTTTATTGCAAAGTCCAAATCCTGGGGTGCTACAAAGTACTCTCACTAGGTGATGCAAAGCATGTTGATGTGGGTCAACACTGGGTAGTGTGACTTGCTGCAGTCCTACATGACCATGTTCTGAAACATTTATGTCTATGCTAGCATAAATAATACAAAACCTTAAATGAGTTAACTGAAAGGGGAAAGCCCCTGGAGGCTCATCTTGAAAAGAGGACCCTGTTCAGTAGATTGGCAAAAAGCTGGCTCAGCAAGCTCAGTGGAAGAAAAAACGGACACACTGCCAGTGAGCTCCTGGGGCTTTCCCTTTCTATCAAGGCCATTTCTTCAAACAGGGAGCTTCCACCGTTACAGAGTCACCTAGATGTTTCATGCACAAGGGTTGATCCCTCTCCATGTTACTCCTAATTCAGCAAGCATGACAACATTGGTGGAAGGATGGAACCTGGCTCTCATGGGCCAGAGCCTTGTCACATGGTCATACCTGCTAGAAGGGAAACTGAGAAATGTGGTCCTTATCTGGGCAGCCATGTGACTGGACAAGACTTGTCTGTGGAGGAATGAGGGAAATGGTACTCAGGGCACAACTAGTAGCTTCTGCAACACAGTGCTAGGTAGGATAGGCGGGTGTAAGGGATTTTTCTGGAAGCTGTGAACTCTGTAAAATGTTTTACTTGGCTGGTCACAGATCTTAAATTAGTACATGGTTTGTAAGCATCCTTTCCCCACCCCCAATTCTGAGTGAAAATCACCACAACCAAGAAGGTATCTCTTTAAGATGGTTGACTTCTTCAAG